TCCTCGCCCTCCCCACTCCCCCCCAAACCCCCTCCGGAGGGGGGAAACTGAGGCAGGGACCCCTCAACCCCCTTTCTCCCCCTTCTCACTCGTGCAAAGCGAGACAGGGACCCCTCCTGGCCCTTCCCGTGGCCCCCCAAGCCCCCTCCCACCCCCAAACCCCCACTCCCACCCCCTTCCTCGCCCTTCCCGTGGTCCCCCAACTCCCCTCCCAACTGGGGAAACTGAGGCAGGGACCCCTCAACCCCCTTCCCCTCAGCCCCCAAACCCTGTCCTGAGTGGGGAAACCGAGGCAGGGACCCCTCAACCCCCTCGGGATGATCCCCTAAACCCCCTCCCGAGTGGGGAAACCGAGGCAGGGACCCCTCCTCCCCCTCCCCCCCCCCCCCCAAGCCCCCGTCCCGACTCCCACCCCCCCCCCCCCCCTCCCCACGCCCCCCCAAGCCCCCACCCCCCTCCTCCCCCTCCTCCCGCACCCCCAAGAGCCGCAGCACCCCCAACTCCCGCAGCCGCTCCCGGGCCGCCCCCTCCCAGCCCTGGTTGGCGCGGGGGTTCCTGGGCGAGGGGTGGGGGATCCCCCGCACCGGCACCCCCAGCCCGGCCCCGGCCAGCGCCCGGCGCGCCCTCAGCTCGGCCACTCGCCCCAGGGCCACCACGAGCCGCACCCGCAGCGCCCGCACGACCCCCGCCAGCGCCGCCCCGCACGCCCCCAGCAGCCGCTCCCGCTGCGGCCCCCCCAGCTCCGGGGGCGGCACGTTGCGGCCGCTGCCGGCGAGGAAGAGGAGGGGGCACAGGTTGTGCACGAAGCAGTGGCGGAAGAAGCGCCGCGGGTCCGGGCAGAGGCTCCGGATGAGCCCCCAAAAGCGGGCGCCGCTCACCTCGGCCCGCGGGCAGCGCAGCCCCAGCACGGGCCGCTTGGGGTGCTCCAGGGGGGGCTTGCGGACCTCCCCCCGCACCCGCAGCCACTCGCGGACGTGCCACGCCTCGCCGAAGGGCACCTGAGGGGCGAGGGGGAGGGCGGGATTTAGGGGAGGACGGAGGGGGGTAAACCCCACCTGAGCAGCTCCTCCGGGTGTGGGATGGATTGGGAACCCCCCACCCCCAATCCTGGGCATCCCCAAAGACCCCCCAGTGCATCAGCTGCCCTCGTTTGGGGTCCCCACGGGATGGACTGAGACCCCCTGAGCTCCCATGGGGTGGATTGGGATTCCTGGGACACCCCCAAAGACCCCCCAGTGCTTCAGTTTCCCTCATTGGGGGCCACCATGGGATGGACTAGGACCCCCTGAACACCCACGGGGGAATTGGGACCCCCAGAGCTCCCATGGGGTGGATTGGGATCCCTTGGACACCCCCAAAGACCCCTCAAGGCCTCAGTTTCCCTCCTTTGAGACCCCCCAGGATGGACTGGGGCCCCCTGGGCACCTCCAAACACCCCCCAGTGCCTCAGTTTCCCTCCTTTGAGACCCCCCCCAGCACGAACTGGGATTCCCCCCCGTCCCTGCTCGCCCCCACCCACCCCGGTCTGGGCCATCCCGAAGGGCCCCGGGTTCATTCCCAGGAACAGGACGGGTTTTTGGGAGCGCAGGAAGCGCCGCACGAAGTGGCTGTGGGGGTCCCAGGCGTAGTCCAGGGGGTCGTACACGTGGGTCACGGGGGGGCCGGGGGGGGGGCAGCGCCCGGAGCTCCTCGCGCAGCTCCTGCTCCAGCGCCAGGAAGCGCCCGGCCAGGCCTTCATCGGCCTCCTCCTCATCGTCACCATCGGCATCATCGGCATCATCGGCATCAA